TGTAGAGTTGCCAGCTCACAGCAAATTCAAGTTTTGTTTCTTGGAAGTTTCCAAAAATGTTTTTTTTCAAATATTTTTAATCTGCAGTTGGTTGAATCCCTGGACATGGTACCCATGGATATGGAGGGCCAACTGTATATATTTACTTTTGTATGTTTGACCTTTTTTAGTGCCATGTATTAATTTTTCAGATATTAAACATTGATTACTTAGTGAACATTTTACATTTTATTAGTTTTCATGGGGCAAACAAAATAAAATAGAACTAAAATTGACATCTTATAGAGTGCTGTATGTCAATTATATCAAACTGGAAAAAGAAAAGATGTGTGTGAAGTAGGCTTCTCAATAAAACTTTTCATATCCTGACAAAAAAATCTAAATCTTCAACTAGAAATTCACGTAGAAAGGAAAGGAGGGCAAATCCTTCACATAACCAAGGTTAAGTAATACCTGTTCATTATTATCCTTTTAATTCATGTCATCTTCGATTCCTAATCTCATGTGAAACTTGCTTGCAATTCCACACACTATTTTAATTTTGAATCAGCATCTGTCTACATACTTAAAATTTGAGGGCCAGAATTATCTGGATAATGTCAACTTTTCTCTCTCCCATTATAACAGGCATCATTTACCACCCTCTCCCGCCTCCCATTTTCCTCTCATCTTAGTTATATGTAGTGCCCCTGATGGACTCATGAGAAAAATATTATTACTAGTGATGGTTGCAAGAATTAAAAAATCAAATCGCCACACATAAATCTACTTTTTGAAGCTTTTAAAAGATCACTTTAGCAGCCTAAAATTTAAAAAGAATCGAAGTATTCCTATGGAAAGGTAATAAAAGGCAGTGTGATATGCAAACAACACAACTTAGTGGTACATTTAACGTAAGTATCTGTACAAAATGCATGGAGGACTAGTTTTTTAATGCCTGGAATATTTGTATTCTGACGTATTTTTTAAATAGAAAGATGAAAGAATGCTTTCAGATTCTGCTGCCAGTGAACCAAAAAATAAGATGGTATTTCCAATTCATTGGAATTGGAAATACATTATTTGTATGGATGACTGAAGCTTTTGAAAATTAAAATGCTTAATAAGCAAAGATTCATTTTTGCAGTTTATAAATAAATGACCGGATATTTGATTTTTATTTACATTTTAACTAGAAACTTAATTTTACTCACAATGAAATATATATGTATATATATTATACATACACACACAATGATGGGTCACAGTAAATTATGCATATATCTATTTTTAAACTACTCTCTGTTTTGAAATGGTATTGATGCTAGCAATAACACAAGACATTGTCTAAGTTCATTTTAGTCAAAATTAGTGTCTATGTGGAGAGAGAGAGATTTTAAGGAGGCATGGGAAATGCAGAAGCGGTGAGGTAGGAATGAAGGGAATTGTGATTTAAAATATGCGCTTTAACATTTCACTTTCTTTATCTTAAATCCAACATAGAAACAGGTTCAAGAGGAATTTGCAGACACATTCAAAGAGAACTGACAGTCAATAGAATATCTCTGTTCATTTCAGTTTCATAGAAACCAATGTGTTCCTACTTAAAAATCTCAGTCCCTGGTCTATTTGCAATGGCCTTCAGTCAACTTTATTTAATCTGACTTCTGGCTTCCATTTTTCTTCCAAGCCTTTCATGGTTAATACCTTTTTCAAGATTTGAAAGATGATGAACATTTGTCAGGTAGGTTTATCTGCTTATAACACCTAGTTAATCAGAAGAGATCTGTTGAAAATCTATGATTCAGAAGTCCTCTTCCAAGCTGTTCTTAGCTTTACTCACCTGTGTCCTAATGAATCCTTTTGGCTGAAAACCTTTGCAAACACAATGATCAGACAACTCAAATGATGTGCCCTTCACTGGCTTCAGGCACTATAATCTATGTAGAAGTATTGAAAACCTTGCTTCTTTCTTTGACTTTAACTGCCTAACCTTACCCTGTCCTCCACTGCCAGATTAGGCCAGATCTGTTATTTACTCAAAGAAACCCAATACTTACTGGATATCATCCAAGTGTCTGAAGTTCAAAGTATTTTACATCACTCTTCCCATCTCCCCTTCACTAGACTCTTACCCTGAGTCTCGATTCAAGATAAACAGATTTACTTGACAGACCTCCAAATATGCTCAGTATGGGCTCAGCACTGTCACTTAGCTCAGCATCCCCTTGTCTAGAATGTCCCTTCCCTCTTCACCTCTTTTCAACCTGCTTCTTTGCCTGCTAAAATTCCACCATCCTTTAAGGCCAACATCAAATGTTAGCTCTTTCACAAACCTGTTCTTGATTCACCCAATAAGAATGATCTCCTCTTGGAGCAACTTTCTGCTCCTCCAATACTCACAGTCAACCTTGTCTTATTGCTTAGTCATATACTCCTTCCTCTTAGATTCTAAGCTCCTGGAGGAACAACAGTTTATTCTTCTCTGTACAAACCAAAGTATCATGTACTATGTCTTTCATACAGTAGGGGCTCAACCAATACTGACTGAATAAATAAACAATGGAAGTGTAGACAAGCTATTTATTTAGCTGAAAACTTTTACAGGAGATTCTGGTTCCATTTTGGAGAAACCCAGGTCAATGTCTAAATTATCTCAGTTGTGCCTCTCTAAACAGGGTATAGATTTACATATGCAAGTGCCATACTAGCATTTCTTAAGCAAAAAATAAAAAAGGTTTCTTTACATCAGTGTCTTCTTCAAAGAAGACAGAGATCATTCAAGACACCAGATTTTTCACTTACTTTGAGGATCTTTTCAAAGAAAAATGGTACTTTGAAGCAGTAAACATGATATAGCCATCCATCTGTTTGGGTTTTTTCCTACCAACTCAGCTAAGGGAAATCCTACTTCATATTGGCTGAATCACTGACAAGACTTTAAACATAAAACGATTTGAGAAACAGAAAATGCAAAGCTGCCCATATTTTCACCACTGTGTGTACAGATTTTGAACAAATGTGATTAATAATTCACTTTTAAAAATTCAGTGGAACACCGGTAACCTAAGTGTCAGAAAACATGCCTAATATTCATATTATAAGATAACCATGCTCATATCATACTTTAAAGATGTGAGTGGATGTGAGGTAATCCACGGCTTATGGGACAATCTTTCAATTTACCTTTCTTCTTTCCATTCAGTCTTTCAACACATTAATTAAAATGTCTATTAAATGCCTGGCACTCTACTAGCACAAAAATACATGGTGAGCTCATAAAGACATGGTCCTTGTGTAAATTTTACTTATATATAGTCCTTTTTTTACACAAAATGTAATAGTTTCTGAACTGAAGCCATTGATTTTCCCTAAAACCAGCTCTTCTGCTTAGAGTTGTAAATTTTGCTAATAGCATCATTTCTCTCCTTTCATTTGAAGCCTCAGAATCAGCAAGGCCCTCAATATTTGTCACACAAACTACTGCAATATTCTTCCTATTATGTGTACTAACTTCAGTTTTTTATACTTTAAAGCATTACAAAATATCTTGGTTCAGCTGCTTACATTTATTACTTATCTAATTAAGGACTATTGACTCAAATTGACTCTTGAGGCAGTTATAAAATTGTCCCAAACTACTTTTCACATCTTAATATTTTTTGTAAAGCTACACCCAGCTTCATTCAAACTCAATTATTTACTTTCTCAAACATATTCCACCAATTTCCTCTTCTGTATAGTATTTATTCAAGATATTCTTCCCTGTGACCTACTCTTCCTTCCCTACATAATCACAGAAATTATAACTTCCTTCAAGAAATATCTTAAATAATAATTTCTCTATAGTCTTAGAGGATTCTCACAGATGTTTACAAATATCTGCAAATAAGATGTTTTCAAAATACAAATGTCATCATTTGTATTTTCTAAGGAACTTCCACATTCTGCTTCACTTTGTCTAATAGGCTACACAATCCTAAGGCAGAGGTAGCTTTAGTTACCAGTGTTCAGAGATGGTACTCAAAACTTTTATTTGCTTATTGGTATTTCTGATTACAAATCTTCTTCTGAATCCTACATATCTTCTAAGTCTTATACTGAAATATGGTAATAGCGACGAACATGGTTCCCATACCAAGCAGACGACCAATAATAAAACCCAGTGAAGGAACTGGACTCTGATCTGTGGTGCTTTAGGTTTGGGCCATCCACAGACTTTTCATCATATCTATGGATTTCTTTTAACTTGCTTCTTTACTTACTCTTCCATTTTTATGTTTTCCTCTCATTCTTCTACTTTCTCTATCACTCCATGTTAGGCAAGCAGCGGTATTCTCCGGCATTTTGCTTATTTCTGCTAGTAGCAATAAAGGATTAAATTTTTCTCACTCCTGGGATATACTATAAAAAATGATAATTGCCTTTCTAGGCTATCGCTAATCTCTAAACTAACCTCCAAAGTTTGTGGAGAAAAATAAAATGAAGAGAATTCAAACTGAATTTCAGTGTTGATTTTTTAAACTCAAATGAGTTGTCAGTCAACTTAGGTGGCATTAAAGGGGGGAAAAAAAACCAACCAAATAACTAAAGTTAATACAATGTGGTTTTGAATGTGAATGTATATATTGATATATAAATAAATTTATATCAATCAACTATATAAATTAAAAGAAAATGAAAATACTTCCATAGCTTTCTTAAGCACCTTTTCTTTCTAAGCTCTGTTCGCTTTCATGCAGTGAAAGCATGGAAATCATTTTCCACATTATCAAAAATGAAAGAAAACTTGGAAAGAAAGCAGAGATGAATCTAAGCTGAAAATTATTATAACTACATTTTTTTCTGCAGAAAAGTTTTCCCAATAGCTATATTCTTTCTTAGGTTTTATTTATGCCCATGACTTTGTGATACAATGGTTTTCCCAATAAATTTCCCTTCGGAAATATGGAGTAAATTAAAAATAGTAACTGTAGTGAAACTGTAGATAATTTAGAGTGAATGGGTAGAAAACCACTTACCCCCAGTTGCCACAGTGATTTCACGTAGGAAATGGCCATAAAATGGAAAATCGAAGGACAGATTCACTCTCTGCAAGGAACAACAACCAGAAAAGAAAATCAATAATGTGCATAATAGTAAATGTAAAATGAAGAGCCTTCTACCTAAAAAAAATGATGCTTCTGCTTTGCACCACTATTATTGTAGTTGACTATTAGAACCTGAATCTTGGATGGAAAGAAAGATTTTTTTCCCCTGGTAATTAAATGTTTAAAGTATGTGAAAAGAATAAAGTTGTGCTGTTGTGGTCTGTTGATCTGTTCTTCAGTTACAAAGGGAATCTAGAAGTTTCAACTCTGAATCAAGCTATTCTCTTTAACATCACCACTGCCTCTCAGTTGTCCACTACAAAGTAGGTCAGCCATCACGATAATCTTAGGGTTCTTTTTAGTTTGATTAATCTTTTCCAAAATAGTAGACCATGTTATCTGTCAAGTTTCACTGAATTTAAAAATATATATATTTATTTTACAAAATTATATATTCAATTTATCTTCTGTACATCCCAGAACAAAAGGCAATTTTACGGAACAAGATATTTTGCACCTACAGATCTAGACCTGCAGATATTTTTATTTTTAAGATATGATAAACTCCCCAGATTCAGTATACAGATGACTCCTAAACAACAAGGGTTTGAACTGCGTTGGCCAGTTCCACTTATGAGGCATTTTTTTCCCAATAAATATAGTATCTGTGTTTTCATTTTACAGATCTTTAAATTATCGAAGTGTTGAGAAAACTTTGATTAGAGATCACAATATATGAAATCAAAAGAACTAGGGTTTGAGTTCTGATTCTATCCAGCCCTTGGGTGAGTCATTTGTCAATTTCCTTATTTTTGAGCAGAGATACCAGTGTGTGGATTTTCAAATGTGCGGGGACTGGCAGCCCTAACCCCCAGTGTTGTTCAAGGGTCAACCGTTTTACGTCCACTTTTAAAAGCACAGAATCAAAGAATAAAAAATTCTGGTTACTAGAAAGCTACTTTTACTTTGTAGAGAGGAAAACTGGAGAGACTTAGAAAGAAAGTTCATAAATTTTGCCCCTCGTTTTTCTAAAAAGGGATCTGAAGCTTTGGATATATATATTTATAATATATCTTTATATAGATAGATAGTAAGATAAAAACAAGACACAACAAAGCAAAACAAAGAAAAAGAAACCCTAGATTTTGTGTATGTTTGAAATGATATGAACCAGATATATTATTATTAGGCAAGAAACAAGAAAAACAGGGAGCTATAACAAAGGTAGTCAGCTGAAATAAAAGGATCCATAGGGAAATTAATTGGCTGATTTACAGCCTAATAGCATGTACAAACCACCTATAGTAAAAGGTTATTATGTTAAAATTCAACAATTTCTATATCATATCTCTCCCAATATACAAATTTAAAAAAATAGAGAATTATATATAGCTAGATTAAATTTAGCTCTTCCCAATTGTACAAATGATTGCTTTTTTATATCCATCAGAGATTTCTAATGACTTATTTGGCATGATATTAATAATTCAAAATTTACAGTGACTTTCAATTAGGTTTTATTTCTTTCCTTTTTAATGAAAGCTGCATCTTCAGAAAGGGTTTATCTTCATTTTTATTTTATGCTGACTAATGGGAACAACAAAATCTATTTTCACTGCACTAACTGAAATGAGTGGTTACTAATAACCGTAACAAAAGCTTCAGTGGCAAAATCATATATCGCAAAGAAAAGGTCAGACATAATTTTATAAAGGCACTTGCTGTAGTACACTGTTCTCCATCATTCTAATTTATTTCCACCCTCATGTGCAAATTGGTAAAATTTACAGCCCTTTGGCATTCTCACTTCCAGAATAAGAGTTTGGTTTAATCATCTATCACTAACATATCAAAGATGAACCAGAGGAATATGACAATTTCTCAGCCACAACAAATGTATAAATATTTTAGAATAAAATTGAGATAAACAAATATATAAGTTAAAGACTGTTTTTGAGAAGTAAATAAGTTCTCAAGGAAAAATTGCTGATATATTATCTTGAAGCACAACATCAATGTTTGAAATGTTTCCCTGTTTAAATGACCAGATACCTTAGTTATTACCATGGCCTGCTTCACACTAATAATGGCAATGACAATTTAGAAAGGTGTTACCTTCTCAATAGTTGTGAAATCTACCCATTTCTCTCCAGGTACTACTGACACCCTTCCCCAAGTATAGATCACTTTTTTTTTTTTTTGCGGTACGCGGGCCTCTCACTGCTTTGGCCTCTCCCGTTGCGGAGCACAGGCTCCGGACGCGCAGGCTCAGCGGCCATGGCTTCCCGGACCCAGCCGCTCCACAGCACGTGGGATCCTCCCAGACCGGGGCACGAACCCTAGTACCCTGCTTCGGCAGGCGGAGCCCCAACTACTGCGCCACCAGGGAAGCCCAGCATAGATCACTTTTATCGTAATAACTTGCTCACAGGTGTCTTGGCTCCATTTTCCCTGGAATTCATTCTCCATACTATCTAGCATATCACCCCCCCACTTCAGATCATTCAATCTAGAATCCCACTGACCCTGGAATCATGCCAAAATAGTGAAAACAAGTTCTAAGACCCACCACTAACTGGTCTCTCCTAACTTAAGATTCTCCCTTCATATTTTCTGCTCAGGCCAGCCTTCTAGAATAACTTTTAGTTCCTTGAAACTGCCTCCCTTAACCCTGGGCTCTGGTACTTCAATATGATGTCTCTTCTGACTGTAATGGTCTCTCAACCTTGGTTGGTCATGGCTACCATGTTCTTTAAGCCTTGGCTTAGTTTGGTTGGTACTCCAAACCTGACATAAGGACTTGGAGCAGATAATTTGTTTGGAAGGTGATCCTAGGAAGCATTTGCTAAAGGAAGTGGGAAAAGTGAGACAAGGAAAAGAGAAAAACTAGTAACAGTTATTGGATGTGTTACCACTATAGCCAGGTCTCCCCTTGGAGATCTTCTGAGAAAAAGTGGGGGCAAAAATATGTCTCAGAATCATCTCATTGGAGGTTAGGAGGCTGGGCTACTTATCCATCAACTCCTATCTCCTGTCGATCAAAGGTGCTCCTGTGGGCAGATGAATCCCCCCTTCCCCAGGATTACCCTTGCTTACCCTCAGGCAGAAAGAAGAGCCACAGCACTTGATCTGAGGAGTTGCTAGTATATTAGAAGATGCCTCCCACAGCTTCAAGTGAACTCAGGAGGCAGAAGGGATATGGGGCAAAGCGTCAAGAGGGACCGCGAAGTGTCACATCCTCAGAGTGCTACCGTGACTTCTTAGCCCAAGTTAGACTTCCTACTACTGTATCTCACCTAGCATTCTCTCTATATACATGCACACGTGAAACAACTGCATGGGGTTCAGATTTTAACTGCTTCAAAGTGAAACTCAGCATCAGGGTGGTTAAGAATGGCCCAAGTGGGAAACCAAAATTTAAACCCAGATTTGAAAGACAACAAAGGCAATGCTCTTAATTACTGAGCTATTGAAAATAAAGTGATAAGAAGTGTCACACTTAAAGGGAAATTTCTGAAAATTATCATCCCTCCTTAAAACACATACAAACACAGACACACACTCAAACACACACACACACACACACACACACACAAACTACTGAAACATAAACAAAAATCATTAAGCACTAGAATTTCATGAAGGGCTTTAAGCTAACTTATTATATATTCAGTATAATTACCCTCTGGGTAATTGGATCATTATTTTATCTCAGTATGGTATATAAAACAGGCATGGGGGGGAGCTAAAGGAAAGTTTTATTTGTTCATTCATTCATTCATGCAGTCAGAAATCATTTATTCAACACCTTATATGTACCAGGCACTTAATCAGGGTCTGAGCATCATACAGTAAGTCCCACCCAGTTTCTTCCTTCAAGGAGGTCAGAAGATGGTGCAGGAGAGCAACACGGAAGGATAAACAAGTAGGACCAGGCAGGGTCAGAGTAAGGACCCAGAGAGAACACCTAACCCAGAGGAGATGGCACTGAAACTCTTTAAAAGGAATCACCAGAAGCTAGCCAGATGAGACCTGAAGGCAGGGGAGTGGAAGGGATTGTGAAAATATATGTAGAAAGTAAAACTGGAAGGATCGTGATTAATTGTACATAAAAGCTGGGAGCGGGGAAGAGCTGTCTAGAACGTAGGACAGGTTTCTAGCTGGGTGACTGGTGGACCATAATCCACCAACTGCAATGATGAATATAGGAAGAGCTATTTTGGTGTGAGAAGGCGTGCTGTGTCACTAATTAATTACATATCCTTTAACTATACAATTAAAAAAAAAAACCCAAATTGTAAATGCCACAAAGGACCCTTCTGAAGTCAAAAAGGCTAACAGAACCCTGGACATTGTCACAAAAAGCCACCGTAAACAAAAAAAGAAACGTAATCTTGAAATTTATTTGACTTAATTGATGTACACGACAGAAATGGTGAACATTTTCCTATCTTGGATCTCATCCCATAAGAAATATCTAATGTAAAAGGAAGAAGCGTTTCAGAAAATTGTCATGTGAAGACACAATAAATTAATTAACAGGGCGAAATATACAATGAAAACTCAGAAGTGAAATTTTAACAAGGATGTGTGGCATAAATAAAATCAATTGATTTTGCTAATCCCTTACACTCTGCAGAAAGCTATTTGAAAGGAGGGGTATCATAATTTTGAGAAGAAATTTATGAAGCATGCTTTGAAAAGTTTGCAGAAGTATATAGATAGGTTCTAGGTGGTCTGTTGCAAATTTATGGCAGGTACAGCCATGTATGACTGTGACTTTTAAAACCACATCATGCTCCCTTACAGCATGCCCCGCGGAATCACTGCTGGGAACAGACTATCAGAGGCAATTGGGGCCATTCTCAGAGATCTCTAAGTATGTCCCCACCTCTTACTGCCTCTTTTACATATTTTTCTTATGCCTATCGCCATCCGGCTTCTGACTAATTATTAAGATCTCTGTTAATTCTTTCTTAATAACACAAGAATTATAAACCT